GATCGCTTTTAGTTTCACTTTCACTTTCTAGATTCGCGATCGCACGTACTCTGTTTATACTATGGAGCGGCAGTACTTGCCACACATTTTACAAGATTATATGTTTGTCAGTGGTATCTGCAAATCATTCGCCATCGTCCTCAGTCATCTCTCCTTACTCTGTTTATGTGGCAAGTGAAATTTTATGTAGCCTACTGTAGGATGTAACAGGCAACTGTTACACCATGTCTACACCGGATGCGACAGTTGTCGTGTCGCGCCGTGCCGCATCAGCTAAAGTCTGTCTACACTGGACGCGACAAAGCGACCGTTGAAAATCAAACAAAAACTTTTTTGTCCCCCTGGGTCCCAAGAGCTTAAGGTAGAATGACACACATGTGCAGGTACGTGATGTATATGTGTGGACAGGTGTGATTTATTTACCTCTTCATCACTTGGCCTGCTGATAGGTATAAGGTGAATGATCACTGGACGATTCCACCGGAGGTTGTGGACTGTTCTCCTACAACAAAACATGCGGTTTATTTTCTCGCATTTATGCACCAAACCAACACAACAAGCACAGATCATGAAAGTTCAAATCAAAACAGAGATCTGCAGTGCTAATGTAATATAAGTCAGAATATCAATGACTGAAAGTAGTTTTCTTCACATCTTTCAATGATTACATGCGCTATTAGGGATGAATGTCACAAAACATATTCATATTTCACCCTAAAATAAGATGACATTAGATTTCACATTCAGTCTTTTTTTTCTGTATTACTTTAAAACATACTGTAAAAATAAAAAAATTATAATATAATAATTTACTTGCAATACTTCAATTTAAATAATTGTTGTTATTGTTATTATTATTATAATGCCTCAGATGAATAAGGATTTGGGGAGAAAGTGCTTAATTGTCATAAAAATGATCTGGTTTACTGTAAAAATAAATTATTATAATACAGTAATTCATTTTTTATTATTATAATATATTTTTTATATATTTTATTTCAGAAATTAACAGAAATTAAAGGGCAAAACCCACAATACTACAAAGCATAAATACTTTAATAGTTCAATTTAAATAATAATTTACTGTTATTGTTATCATTATTATTATGCATCACAGTAATGATGATTTAGGGAGAATTAGCATAAGTGTCATGAAAATAATCTCACAGTGTAAAGCAATGTCATCAGTCCTAAAAATAATATAATACTAGACTCAATTTGAGTATTTTCTGTATTACTGTAAAAATACTGTACATTATTATTATTATTAATTTATTATACTGTAAATTAAATTGATTATTTTATTATTTTAATATTTAATATATTATATATTAGGCAATGCATAAACTACTACCATAATCTATAAATACTGTGCTTCAATTTAAATATTATTATTATTATTACTATTCTTGTTATATTATTATTATGCGTCACAGTAATGAAGATTTAGGGAGAAAGTGCATGAAAATAATCTCACAGTGTAAAAACAAAACAAAAAACAATGTTCCTAAAAACACGCTTTATTTTCTTCCAAAGTATTCTATTTTATTTCTTTTGTTTGATTTAGAGCACAGAGACAGCGCTCATTAAGATAATAAATGATATTCGCTTAAATTCTGAATCTGGCAAAATATCAGTGCTGGTACTACTAGATCTCAGTGCTGCGTTTGACACTGTCGATCATAACATACTACTAGAGAGACTGGAAAACTGGGTCGGGCTTTCTGGGATGGTAATCAAATGGTTCAGGTCATACTTAGAAGAGAGAGGTTATTATGTGAGTATAGGAGAGCACAAGTCTAAGTGGACGTCCATGACATACGGAGTCCCACAAGGCTCAAGACTTGGAGAAACTTGTTCATGCCTTTATCACTAGCAGGGTGGACTATTGTAATGGTCTCCTCACCGGCCTTCCCAAGAAGACCATTAGACAGCTGCAGCTCATCCAGAACGCTGCTGCCAGGATTCTGACTAGAACCAGAAAATCTGAGCGTATTACACCAGTCCTCAGGTCCTTAGACTGGCTTCCAGTTATATTTAGGATTGATTTTAAAGTAGTTTTACTCGTTTATAAATCACTCAATGGTCTAGGACCTAAATACATAGCAGATATGTTCACTGAATATAAACCTAACAGACCACTCAGATCATTAGGATCGAGTCAGTTAGAAATACCAAGGGTTCACCCAAAACAAGGGGAGTCTGCTTTTAGTTATTATGCCGCCCGCAGTTGGAATCAGCTTCCAGAAGAGATCAGATGTGCTAAAACATTAGTCACATTTAAATGCAGACTCAAAACTCATCTGTTTAGCTGTGCATTTATTGAATGAGCACTGTGCGATGTCCGAACTGATTGCACTATATTCTATGTATAATCGTTTTCTTAAATTAATTTTAAACCTCTTAAATCAATTTTTTAAAATCATTTTCAAAGTTTTTAAATTCCTTGTTTTATTGTTGTGATTATTTTTTTCTTTTCTTTTATGTAAAGCACTTTGAATTACCACTGTGTATGAAATGTGCTATACAAATAAACTTGCCTTGCCTAGAGTATTTAGAGTATTTAGTGATTTAGAGTGATTTAGAGTCCAGTTCCCTGGAGATGTTCTACACAGGTTTTGTGCGATTCTCTCCAGAACATTTCAGCACAGTTGCACAAGCCCAGTCTGTTCCTGAACTTTTCTCCATTTATGGTGATTGTGAATTCAGGAAATTCTTCAGTACAGGACGAGGTTAAATCTGTCTGGGAAAGTGTTTTTCGTCATGAACCCACCTCTACTGAGACGGCGGTGGTCTGCATGTGAGTGTATGGAGGGATATACGGCCCCTGGAGAGCTGGATTGGCTGGCATAAACTACACAGAGAGAGATGAGAGAGATTCACATGAACACACCAACATATGCTGCTACAAATCTGCACACGCTGTGTTTTGTGCTCATATTCCGTCAGCAGTTTTATATTTGCTTGCTTTAGTGCATTTCTGCTGAGTTGTGCATGAGTCATGCGTTGCCTGCATGTGTTTAAATATATACATTTTTGCAGCCTTTGTCCAGAATATGCAGAATGATCTGTCTTTTGTAACACACAAAAAAATATGATTACACTAAAATTTCCAACATAAAACTTAACATTTTTCATTATGCACAGAAAATGTTTTTCCATTTTATGTTTTAATTGCAACTTGATTATTCACCAGTAGGTGGCTTTCAAGTTTAGTCATGCAGCTTGCTATAAATAGCATACTAGTTCTGCAGTATATAGTATGCACACTGTGCACAGCATGCAAATTTGTATGCATGCATATTCGGACCTAATGCATTTGCCAAAATGTGCAGTATACAATAATGCACACGGCATAAAAAACGATCCCATAATGCAATGCACTCACTTGACTCAATGCACTTGACCTTTTTAGGTTTAATGACAAATAATATCACAATTGAATTTCAATACTTCTATATTTCTATTCATTATTTTACTGGGTTGCCAAATGTTAGGAAATTAGGAAAGTTTAATTAAAAATGCAAATGAAAACTATCCCTGCATACACGGCATAGAAAAAGTCTCATAATGCAAAGCACTCACTTGACAATGCATTTGACCTTTTAAAATGTAATGACAAAAGTAATATTGCATTTATATTTTAATAATTCTATTTTGATTCATTATTTGGGTTGCTAAATGTTAGGAAATTAGGAAAGTTGAATTAAAATGCAAAATAACTTTTTATTTCATATGCAATGTGATGAGGTCATGTGACAGCAATTTACCATACACATTTTTTGTATTCAGGGCTTGAAAACGAAAAAACTAATAATAATTCAATCGGTTCACTCCGAGCAGAATCGATATTTTAACATTTCTGTTCCTGCGTTCCTCTGTATTATTATCGTTCCGAAACTGGTTTGCCTAGAATAAATACCGGTTAATTATGTTATTTTTAAACTTTTTTTTTGCCTATAATAATAATAATAATAATAATAATAACAGGCTGCAATGTTGCAAAATATGTTGTGTCTGTGGGCGCGTGAGGCGCCGGCGCGATGTCGTCATACCAACACTGGTTGGTTATACAGATAGAGAAGCAAGACATCATTCAAAACCGTCAATATTTGCAAAATAAATAAAACCGTAAAATAAATAAAACTGTAAAGCTTTTGCAAAATAAATAAAACTTCTTTCTGCCTTCTCATTTTTCTTTCAGTGAACTTTGGATCACGTCACAATGATCCGAAACTCAACACATTTTCTTCTTTCATTTTGTTAATCTGTCAATGATTTAAGTGAAATATATTTTGTGTATAGGGCAATATAAGCTATTCCTTTTATGTAAGCCTATAGTTTTATTCTGTTTTCTCCATTGACAGAAGCGCTGCAGGTGCGTGTGATCTGTTGAATCCATCTTACACTATCCTCAGATAAACTCTAACTTACCTATGATGAGTTCACAGCTGAGTGCATAGGCCGTACTACTTGAATTCATGATTGGTTGACAGAAAATTTCAAATATTAAATGGAACGATAAAATAACGTTATTAACCGGTTAATGGCCATTTCAAATTTTCGATTCTGTTCGGAACTATAAAATTTGATTTAGTTTCTGGTTCTGTTCCTGTCAAAATTTCGTTCGTTTCCGGTTTTCCTTTTCGTTCCTTGAACCGGTTCAGAGCCCTGAATTTGATATATAGTGCCTACTGTTGCAATTTAAAAAAAATAGTAGGCAGTATGCAGTGTATACTGCAGTATGCAAACGCTGTTGCATTCTGTCTGCATTCACAGACACAGACTTTAACAGCTGGAAATGATTTTGCCGATCTTGAAGAAACAAAACAACACATATGTAAGCACTCAAGTGTTGATTGTGCTCACCGTTCCTGCGCTGCCCAGAGAGAGGTGATTCATCTGCTGAGTGAGAGGACCCAACATGGACGCGGGCTGCAGAGACATGGAGTGATCTATAGAGGGCGATATCACTGCTCCCTACCACACAACGAGAGAGTTACAGTACATTTATTCGTTTAGGAAGAAAAAGCAAGAAAGGCACATACATACATTTCCTTTTAGAACTGGCCAGTTTTAAATAAATAAAAATAAAAATAAGTATGATTATTTTACTCGATATATGTGTGTACTATGTATTTTCAAGCATTTGCAGTAATGTGACTGCATTTTCCAGTGTTGTTATTGTTAACTCAAACTATCACAATTTGTTGTGATTAACTGAAATAAAATAAAAATAATAACTATTAGATAAAAAAACAGACTTAATATGTTGCTTTGGCTAAAATAAACATGAATAAATAAATAATACTTGACTATTTTACTCAACATGTGTGTACTATGTATTTTCAAGCATTTGTAGTATGAATATAATATAAAACAAAATAGAAAATAAAAAATTGATGAAAAACGTAAAAATGAAAAATACTGTTTGCCAACTAACTGAACAAAATAAAATACAATAATTAATAAGTATAAATAATACTTGACTATTTTACTCAATGTGTGTATTATGTACTTTCAAGCATTTGCAGTATGCTGACATGATCTTTTCAGTGTCGTTATAGTTCTCTAAAACTATAATTATTCACATTTGTTGTCCTTAATTGAAATAAAGCTGAAATAAAATAAAACGTATATAAATATAAAGCTTAAAAATAAAATGTTTGGCAAATGACTGTATAAAAAATAAAATAAAATAAAATAAATAATGTTCTTACAAAAAAGTTGGAAATAAGCAACTTAATGATTGGATGTATATTTTTGTGAATATTTTTGCTTATTTCAATAATAAACTAATTTGCTGTATTCACCAAAAAAAGTAGCAAACTAATACTAGTAATACCATGGTATTCTTTGAAATTTGGGATAAATTATGCTTGTGATGTTTAATATGAAGTAAATGTGACTTATTTGAGAGTTCACGCGCCCTATGATCTCTTTTATCATGGCCCAACACCCTATAAAGCCCACTTGGCAGGCAATTGGAGCGCCCTAGGTCTCTCTGGGACGTGCGTGATGAGTCTTGGTTTCTTACGCTGTGAGTCAGACTCAGTGCCATCACTGGCCTTTAAATGCCACAGTTTCCTCATTTCTGATTAACAACACTCAGCTCTATACGTCCTGACTCACACCAGTCATTATAGCACACATTACTGATATACGTTACACACACCTTCTTGAAAACAAACACACACAGAGTCTCATTTAGACTCTCCCTGTATGACAGTCATTCATGAAGCTTCACTTATTACACACACAATCCAGCATCTGGGTGTGATTCAGGGTTAATGCATGTATGCAAACACACACTCACACCAGTGTTTCCTGCACAACAGTGACGGCCGCTGCTGCCCTTCAGAAGTAGGAAACACATGTCACTTATCAATGATAAAATGTCAACTGTTTCATTTTGCTATAGTCAATGTTGCTTCTAAAAGCAGCTTCTCAAACAATGAAACTACTGAATGAAATATCCGACTAAAATCAAGGTGTCTGTTCTTTGTAGCAATGTTATTTTAGTATCATTGATACAAACTATAATAGTTTCTATTAATATTTTAAATTTGATTTGATTTTTGTATTTTCTGTTTTCACTTTACTTTTTGGTTAAAGTTTTAGTAATTTTGTTATGTATTTTTGTCATTTATATATATATATATATATATATATATATATATGTGTGTGTGTGTGTGTGTGTGCATATATATACATACATATATTTATGTCTATATAGTTTTAAAATTTTTTTATATATATTTTATTTATTTGTTTTAATTTATATAGTTTTAGTTATTTTATTACTTGAAGATAAACTAAACAAAAATGAAAGTTTTTAAATATCTTTCAGTTCATAATTTTATTTTATTTCAAGTAACGAAACTTTTTTCCTATGATTTTGAGATTAACTACAAAATACATATGACAATAATAAAATAAAATAATATTATAGTCCAACTTTTTCCACAGTAATGTTACAAATGTCATTATTTTATCATATAAAATAAATAAATGTCAAATTATGAATAAGACAAAAAAATAATAAAACACAATCAAATAAAAAAATTAAAAATAAAATTGAAATACATAAAATAAAACATATTACAGTTATTAGTATATCCAGTTATTTTATTACTAGTAAAATAAAATTTATAAAACAAAATAAAATATAAGAAATTACAAAAATAATTTAAATAAATAAATAAAATAATTAATGTTATAATTATTAGTATAGCCAGTTATTATATTAATACGGACATGTAGAAATAAAAAGAAACATTTCTTTATAAATGTAAACTTCAGACTCTTTATTCTGATTGCATGCATACCTTTGCACATTCTTTAATACTGTGCCCACCTACCAGTTTATTAACAATTTTATTTGGCATAAGATTAATTCTGATTACTCAGAATGAATCCATAAATTGCTGTGGTTTCTGCTTTAGTATGTCTGTTTGGACTCGCACTGTGCCCGTCGCCCACACTCTCAGTCTATGAGCAGTCATGAGCTAGTTCAAGTGTATTTCTCCCACACAAACAAACAAACACTGCTCAGGACAATCAGAGACGGGCAGTGCTGAGACTCACCGGATGCTGCAAGATGTAGGGCTGATGGGTGACCCAGGATGGATTCTGTACCTGAACAATAAAATACAGATTATCAGCGTCCCCTAAGACAGTTCTGATGCATCCATCTCTGAGACCTCCATCGGTCTGTAAGCAGTAGAGTTTGATATTATGTTACCTGGTATGTGGACACAGGGGAGATGTATGGAGAAATGGGGGTCTGTGTGATCATTCTGTTTGTAATACTGTAGGCGGTCGGATAGAATCTGTAGAAAGATCAAATCGATATATTTAAGCAATAATTTATGACAGGTTGTAAATATAGCATGATAACCTTGAGTACGATTATGCTGCCTTCTTAGATATCTTGTTATGTAATTATATAAATATAATTCATTCCATACTGAAAAGCATTAATAAGTATTAAGTACTTGAACTAGTGTGTGAACTGGGCATTTTCAAGTATTTGCAGTATAAATCTGCAGATAAATCTCTTTCTAGGGTTGTTATTGTTAACTACAACTATTAAAACTAAAATTGTTCTTTTTAATTGAAAAAAAAAGCTGAAAATAATCAAATGAAAAATTTAAAGTTTAGAAAAATGTGTTGCCTTGGCAACTAACTGAAATACATTAAAAAAATAAAATAAAATATACCCTTTAAGAAAAAATAGAGTTGAAAATAAAGAAACAACAAATGTAAAACTTAAAAAAAAAACTTAAATGAAAGTTAGAAATGTTGATTTGGCATCTAAAAATAAAATAAAATAAAAATAGCTTCAAAGAAAAAAATAGAGTTGAAAATAATGAAACTAAATATTTAAAATGTTTAAAAACTTAAATAAAAATTAGAATGGTTGCTTTGGCAACTAAAAACAAACAAATATATAAAATAAAATAATAAAAAATAAAATAAAATAGAGTTGGAAATATACAATTTAATGACTGGATGTTCCCAAATAAAAATACTAAAAATTAATCACAAATTTTTTAAAGAATTAATCAACTACATTTAAAATTTAAATAAACTACTAAAATTAAATTTAAAATAAAGCTGAATTAAAATAATCAAACAAAAAAATTGAAACCTAAAAAAATTTGAAATGCAGAAGCATTTAATAAAATATATAAAAGCTAAATAGAAATAACAAAAATAAATAAATAACAAAGCACATAATAGTAAGTACTAAAACATGAACTAAAATTAAAATGAATAGAAAAAATATAAAAATAAAAGCTAATTCAAAATACGAATAAATACTACAACAGTGTATAAATAATACTACAATAACAATGGCTCTTTCTCAGCTCTTGTTGTCTCGTACCCATTTTGCATAGCAGCTGTGGTGGGGTCGTATGTGAGTGTCATGCCAGTCTATGAGAGAAAGAGAGAGACATAAAACATAATTATACACTATTCATCTCATAGCTTTTGAAGTGTTGAAAATGAAGTCAAAAGTGTTACTTTTAGCTTGTGAATCATGTGAACCTGAGAAGAAATGACTTCATACATCATTTAAAAGAGACTGAGCAGAAATGACGTTAGTTTAAAAGTTAGTGAAGAGAAAAGCTCAGCATTTCAGCACAGATACAGACTTGCTTTGATAATTTCATTGCATTAGGTAACAAAATATGTCATTAAGTGTGGCGCTGGTGTCTTTTTGTGGCTACCGTACTTGTCAAATAACATAAACCTGAAAACAAATGACACTACTGCTCTCTCCTCCAGTTTGCAGCCAAATGTTTAATGTTGTCACAGCCATTTCAACTTGTGGATTAGCTTTTAATATTTATTCTCGGCGTGGACAGAATCCGACATGTCTGTCCAGTCAAATTCAGCGACATGCGCGGTGAAACTGCATAAGGTTTAATGAAATTATCTGGCGTGACAGAAAACCCATCGCGCTGTAATTACATGCCGTCTAGTAAATTTCATTAGAAAAAACACAGTATCGTCTCAATTAAGTGATGTGATGTGATACATTTTACTTCTGATTTTCTTTATGAATTATCATGTGACACTGTGAACACTGACCACAGGAACGTGACTCGCTCTGCTCCAAAACCAACTTAGATGACTATACCGGCTGTATTTTAAGGCATCATATCTGAAGGCTGTTAATTCTTTGTGTTTATCTATTGCAATCCCAGAATGCATTGTGACAAAATCAATTGAATAGCAGATAAAGCAAAAGAAATGTTGATTATAAATATGAATAATTCAATAATTCAATGAATATATATATATATATATATAATTGTATTTTTAGTTTAGTTTAGTTTGATCACTGCTCTTTGGGACTAGTTAATGACTAATTAAAAACAAATCTCGGAATGCTGTTGATTCTAAATACGAATAATTGAATCCTGAAATTTACAGATCAAAATAAAATTAAATGTACCAATCAAAATAAAATAATATAAACAAGAGTGTAATACTTCATAAATAACAGAATAATAAAAATTAAATAATAAATAAATAAAATAATAGAAAAAATGTAGTACATAAAAACTGGTGTCCTGAAACGAAAGACACATTTCTTTATAAACAGAATGCAATGTGATCAAATCACTTCAAGATGGCAGACAAAGCAAAAGAAATGTTGATTATAAATATGATTTAATTCTGTTCTGAAGAGTACTGTTCAAAATAAAATAAAATAAAATAAAAAATGAAATAAGAATAAAATAATAAATAAGAATAAAATAATAAACAACAATAACAAAATAAAATAAAATAATAGGTTCTTTTATTAATACTGTTAAAATCACTTCAAGATGTCAGACAAAGCAAAATAAATGCTGATTATAAATACAATTAATTAAATCTCAAAAAGTAGTGAAATATCTGTGCGCTATGGATTTTTAGACTAGTATCACACCGCTACTAAAATCTTCTGAAATTACTTGTGAGTCGAGTCTCCCGTCACAAATCAGTCACTTATAAGGGTACATTTCAGTTCCCTAGGTTTTGGAACAGCACGAGTGTCATGATGGGAAATGACAGGTGACTAAGCAGTTTACACACACACACACACACACA